CGGGAAGGTATAAATTTTTCTGTTTTCTAATCAAATGTAACACAGACATTCAACCTCGGATATAAATTTGTGCTTGATGCATAGATAATCTCTTCCTTATTATTTGGTTAATTTGATCATTTGCTAGCTGTTGTAGATTGCAGATGTTTGGTCCTGTGGTGTGACATTATACATGATGTTGGTTGGATCATACCCTTTTGAGGATTCCGATGATCCTCGGAATTTCTGTAAGACCATCGGAGTAAGTTCTCAATTCTGTCTCTTACATGAGCTATGATTTCCATTTTCCTTATTGATTTTGTTGTAACAGAGAATAATGAGTGTTCAATACAATATACCCGACTATGTAAGAGTGTTTGTGGATTGCCGACATCTTCTTTCCCATTTCTTCGTTTCCATTCCTGCCAATTTATAACTTATTTTTCTTATTTTTATACTTCGAAGTTCAACAAAAACCTTAGTTGTATATAATTGAAATGATATACACACTTTGATTACATATAGAGGATTAGCATCCCGGAGATTAAGCAGCATCCTTGATTTCTGAAAAAATTTATCGAAATAACTGGTGGAAATCGAAAAAACAAACTTTGCGGAATTAGAACACGGTCAACTGTCTCAAAGTGTAGAAGAAATAATGCGTATCATACAGGATGCAAGACAACAATAGCCGAAGGAGCCGAAGTTGGTGAACAAGCAGTTGTTGGTTCATCCGACCTGATGCTGCTGAAGGGGATTTAGAATCTGAAATCGATGTCAGTGGTGACTTTGATGCCACTGTGTGAGAACATGATGTTTAAGTTGTTGAAGAAAATTTGGTGTGTAGTTTCTTTGGGATTACAGTTTAGGTAAGCATTTTTATCATACTGGAAAATGTGTACAGCAGACTGACACCGAATTGGAGTTATGTTGCCTTTGTGTGTGTGTGTGATGAATGTCTCATATTGTAGATTGCATACTTTGTGGAACATTGTATTGTTTTGCATTACTTTGTATGCTAACAATATTACAGTCGGATTTTGTAATCAATCCAGTTGTTTATCGAACATGCAACCTATCTAACACATGGCATTACTGGTTCTCACTTTTTGTCCTCTTCTAGTCCGTAGTAAGTCACATAGTAGCCTTTTTTCCATCTGCTGTAAAATAAATGGAATATTTGAACTCTTTGCTCGGCCTTTTGTTTTGTGTGTTTATGTCCTTTTGTGCTGTTTGTAACTGTTGGAAGAAAAGCTGAATGCTTTGTGTTTGGTGTCGAAGTTAAACTGAAGAATCTGGGGTCTATTTCTTCTCTTGGGGTTTATCTTTGTTTTTGAGGTTTCACATTCTTTTATATATATTACCTATAGATTACTGTGTTGAGTTGATTTATTGCGTTGCATGTCCTCCTCTTTGAATGTCGTTTGTTTTAGACCTATTTCCCAATCTGGGTTTATCTCATTTTCTGTTTTTCTTTTTCTTTGAATCAAGTCCTTTTCAGTTTGAAACAAAAGGGTTTCCGTTTTCATGAGAATTCTATGATTTTTTCTCTTCATTTTGTAGATTTTAATTATTAATGTTTTCATGAAAAAGAGGGGGGAAACTGGTGTTTTTTTGTGTGAAATGAAGTGTTATTTAGACATGCGAATCTAGTGTATAGACTACTTGCAAAATGGGATTAGTTCCAGGTGACATCCAGGTGGGGCCTTTGAATGTTGAGAAATCAAAAGGAAAAAAGAAGAAAGATGGTGGTGAGTCTGGGTGTTGGTTTAAGTTTAGGTTTATGGGGAACTGCTTCTTTGTTTATGTGGATTCATTATTTGTTAATACGTATCTTAATACTAAAGTGAAATCTATTGATTGATTATATAATGTCGGCACTCCATATATTGATTTAATGGTTTGGTTTCACTGTTTCTGGAGCTTCTTTGTTTTTGTCAATTGATTATATTCTTTGTTAGATAGTAATTGAATTTACTTACGCTTATATGATTAGTTTATCTTTTGTCCATCATTTGACTTTCTAATTGTAAGTTGATTTTCTAAACTGTATGTCGTCACATGTGTGTTCGATGAGAATATGCTGTCGATCGATTTGGTTTTATGCTTTAGCAAAGATATTGATTTCTCTTTCTGTACTAGTTTGCAATGATTGCTTTCTTGTTGTACATTTCTCTTGTACTTTATACTTTATGATTATCAGCTTGTAGTTTCTTATTTGTCTTCTAATGCATAATATTGTTGCTTTTGTATGTTGTTTGGCCTTTTAAGTATATGTTGATTTGTTTACTGTATACATTTTCTATCACGTGGATGTTCAATGTATCGTATAATGTTGATCGATTTGGGTCTATGCTTTAATCAACAATTATGTCCGTTTCGATATTGCTATTGATCTGAATCTCTTGCTTTACTATTGCACTGATTATTTTCCATTTCTGCGTATTTGATGGATGGTAGTTTCGCAAACTATCAAATTCGCTTCTACTTTTGATCACCGAGATTTTCGTATTTTTATTTGTCGTCTAATACATAATGAAATGAAAGTGTGATTTATTCCTTGGGGTTCAACCACGGGGTCATTCTCTCGTGTTTCCCCCTAGTTTTGAAGGCATATAATGTGATAAGACACAAGGTTTCTCTGTTTATTTCTTATTACGACTAGTCGTATGTATCTATTTATACATTTGAATAACCATGTTGTTTGTGTGTGAAAATCTGTGTGATGTATGTAAATTCACTTGTTTATGGCCCGGACGATCTAATTTTTTTCACTGTTTTTGAGGAAATCAACTGAAAGTAAATCAACAAATGAGTCAAATGACACCGCAAATAAGTCCAATGACACCAGCAGAGGTCAACCAGTTGTTCCTGTTATGACATCTTCAACTACTACCAATGCTGAAAGTACTCCATCGACTCCATACTTACATGAGGAGCTTCAAGTTGCTTCTCAGCTTAGAAAATTCTCCTTTAATGAGCTTAAGAAGTTAATTATCTCGGTAATCTCCTCCATTCTAATTTGGTCAAGTTGATTGGTTTTTGCATTGAGGATGATCAAAGGCTACTTGTCTACGAGTTTATGCCTCGAGGAAGCTTTTAGAATCACCTTTTCCGAAGTATGTAATTAAACTCATTAATAGAGAATTAGATATTTTATCAACTTGTCTTGCTTGTCTGCCCATGATTGGTAAAGATTCTACCTAACTAAGTCGATAGCCAACTGTATAGTCTTAGCTTACACAGGAAATACTCGAGCATCCAAAATAAACGAGCTTATATATATCAAGGAAAAGGGCTAACACTTATCTTTTAAGATATTTCAATATTTTTGTGCTGGAATTCGGCCTCAGTGTTGGATGTTGATTACACTATATGGTTGATTGCTACAATAATTGTTACAATCACTTTTTTTTTCTATCTTCAATTCGATGCCCCTCAAATTAACCGAAAATGGTACGGTGTTCAAGAAGTTTTGTTCTCATTTACAAACAACTAGGAAGGAATAACGGTTTCAGTCATCGATAACATGGAGATATAAAAGCAATTTTCTTTTTGTAACGTACTGTTTTGGTTCACAATTGCAATCTGTCTTGTGAAATAGTGATAGTTTGTTCTGATTTAGTTTAGTGGCATTCATTTTATCAGGGTTCATGCCTCTTCCTTGGTCCATCCGAATGAAAATTGCACTCGGTGCCGTGAAGGGTCTTGCTTTTCTTCATTAGGAGGCTGAACGGCCAGTAATATATCGGGACTTTAAAACATCAAATATACTGTTAGATGCGGTGTGTGACTAATATGGTATAAAGATAATTTCATGCTCTTTAACGTGTATCATCCATCTTCTCAAATCTTTTGAAATCTTCTCCAGGATTACAATGCCAAACTTTCCGACTTTGGACTCGCGAAAGATGGTCCGGTGGGAGATAAGACTCACGTATCTACTCGTGTTATGGGAACCTATGGCTATGCAGCACCTGAATATGTTATGACAGGTACATACGGTTTAACTTTTCCTAAGATTTTGACAAATATTGGTGATGTTATGTCAATTTATCGATATCGTAAACATTAACCAGATTATAAGATTTTATGAGCTGTATATGCAACTACGGCCTGTTTTCCCTTGTAAAAAGAATGGAAGAATGAAATAAGAAACATTTTGACCTAAGAGGGCCATATTTTTCCAGGGCATCTTACTTCGAAGAGTGATGTCTATAGCTTTGGGGTGGTTCTCCTTGAGATGTTGACGGGCCGAAGATCAATGGACAAAAACCGACCAAATGGAGAGCATAACTTGGTGGAATGGGCTCGTCCCTATCTCGCAGAGAGACGAAGATTTTATCGGCTTCTTGATCCCCGTCTTGAAGGACAGTTCTCGATAAAAGGTGGTCAGAGAGCTTTTCAATTGGCTGCCCATTGCCTTAGCCGTGATCCGAAAGCCAGACCCTCGATGAGTGAAGTTGTTGAAGCCTTAAAACCTCTGCCAAATCTCAAGGACATGGCTTGTTCTTCTTCTCAGTTCCAAGCCATACAAATCGAGCGCACGGCATCAACTTCAAAAGCTAGAACCGGAAATAGAGTGCCGGCAGCCTTGTCAACGAGGGTTGTACAATCTACAAGGAGTCCCCTCACTCCAAATGGCCAGCAAACCTCCCCGTATCATAATAACCATCTTTACCGGTCACCGAAGCCGAATGCTAGCCAACCTTAGCATTGAGTTTAGGCTTATCCCTGGCTGTTTTTTTTATTTCATTTACATGTTTTTGATATGGGGATATAAGTAAATGGATGTTTTGTTGAGTAAAATGGTTGAATGAAAGTGAGTGGATGTTAGAAATGCGCATTTTAACTTGGGTCAAAATCTTCTATTAGCCCTTGTATAATGTGAAATTTGAGAATCTAGTTGTACTTTAATTTGGTTATTTTTAATAGGGTGAAGTACACGAATGATCCCTCGATTATAAGGTGTTGTTTTGTCGAGTCACTGACTATTAAAAGTTACAAACTGATCTTCTGATTATCCTTCTATTATAAGATGTTTTTTTTTAATTCTTCCGATTATTAAAAGACACGAACTGAGCCCTACATTCTACATTATCTTCATAAAAGATAGTTTAAATCTTGTAGTCACGTGGGAACAAATCACGTCATTCGAATGTGTTGAGTCAATAGTCTTAGCAAAATACATTCTTAACTTGTCTGGTGCATATCAAATATTTCTACTTGATTTGTATAGGCATAAAAAATGTTTGCAGATTCAAAGATAATGATCTTGTAGCACTTAGAAATACTTTCAGATCAACTAAGATATGATGTTTCTGAACCAGCTAAGATATGATGGTTCCAGACTGAAATTTTTTTTCCTGTTATGTGAAGGAAAAACTATCTGTATTTATATTTTTACAATCATTAGGGTGATCAATAGGTTAATCAAAAAGAATCAAAAGTTAGTTGGATGATCTTCTGATTTCTGTCCTTACCTGGCCGGGTGACTTTAACTAACTCCATTCTTAATGCTGTCTACTTACTACATGCAAACTTGTCTTTTTCCTTCCCGTATTTGTGATGAAACTGAGAGGCTAATTCGCAATTTTATTTGGAGACCGATTTCCACTGCCCATGGTATCCCTCTAGTTCGTTGGGAAATTCTTAGCCAACCTCGGAAATATGGGGACTTGGAATAAGAAATCCCCACAAACAGAATATTGCTTTTCATCTTAAGTTACAGGCTCTTATCTCAAATCCTAACAGCTTTTGGGTGAAGCTCTTGCGTCAGAAATATAAGATCTTTGTCCTTCATCCATCCCAAGAGCAAACTACTCTCACTTATGGCGTGCCATTGCAAGAATTTAGCCTTCATTTCATGGCTCCCTCGCTTGGTCAATTGGTGATGGATCCCTTACTCACTTTTGGTATGACATTTGGGTGCCTCAACTTGGTCCCCTCATCAATTGAAAAAATCCTACTGCCACTGCCATTGATAATCTTCTTGTTTGTGATACTTTATCCCTTGAAGGTGAGTGGAATTGTCCCTTTCTTCATCAACTTATCTCCCCTGATGTAGTTCCTTTTATCATGAACATTCATTGCCCAAGTTCGACCATTGGTACTGACTTTTGCTATTGGGAATATGGTAATCATGGACAATTCTCAATAAAATACGCCTATCACAAGCTCTCGGATTCTGCCTGGGACAAATGCAATACTAAATGGAGCCTTATTTGGAAGCTTCCTGTTCAGGAGATAATCAAATATTTTCTTTGCCTTTCGGTCAGATATAAACTGCTCTCTAATCAGTCTCGTTGGCACGGTAACCTTACTGATGATCCTGCTTGTTCCATCTGCGGTGCAGTCGAGGAATCTGCTATTCACATCCTTAGAGACTGCAAAGAAACTAAACACTTGACGTATCATTTTTGCTTCCATTTCTTAGCACGTCTGGAAGCGTCGTAACTCCACGATTTTCTGGGGACAAAACACATCGAACAAAACACTTCTCCATCAAAGCAAATCTTGGGTTTCTTACTTTCAGAAGAATCACCATCAACTTGATTCTAGTTTGCCTTCTTTTACTATACAAAAGGAAGTCCGATGGAATCCTGCTCCTACAAGATGGGTCACTCTCAACACGGATGCTTCCATTTTCCAAGATATTTGCAAAGTAAAAACAATATATGCTATAATTTTGCAGCTTTTATTGAATCGGATGCAAAGTAAAAACATGTAAAAAATATTTGAGAAAGTTACTTTATTCAATCCTTCATAAGCCCTTTTTCACTAAAATCGGTAACCGGTGCGGTAGAAGAGAGCTCCTATTTCACTTGACGTTTACTAGCTTTCAATCCTATCCTACGTTCTTTCCGTTTTCGAAACTCAAGAAAAGAAAAAGAATCAAGCTAGCGCCAAGCAAAGAGAAGTGCACAGAGAGAGCTTTCAAGTCTTGATGTCAGATCGAAAGCCTCCGGAATTGGAAGAGGAAAATCCTGTCACCCCTAGTGGGAAGTAGGCTCTATTAGGCATTCTTGGGTCTACAATCTCACTAGAAGAATTCCGAGAGCAAGCATTCAAGGCTCTTCTATCTTGACTTGAAAGCTAGTAAACGTCAAGTGAAATAGGAGCTCTCTTCTACCGCACCGGTTACCGATTTTCGTGAAAAAGGGCTTATGAAGGATTGACCGAAGTAACTTTCTCTACCACTTAGGCGAGCCAGCTATCGTTTGAGCTCTTTTCCTGAAGCGATTCCCCTTGCTTGTAGCTTGTAAGTAAGAGGTGGGTTATTCAACCAATTGATGAGAGTCAATTACAGGATGGATACTACGCGCTAGAATCCGTGCTCTGGAGAATGGGAACTATTATAACATTCCGCCACAGACCCGTCCCGGAGAATATGAGTCCATTGTCCGAGAGTATTTTGATGAAGCGATCACTGTTGATCACCTATGCTCAGCCATGGACATGGAATATAGAGAACTACAAATTTGGGGGAAAAAAAGCATTATTGCAAGAAAGGCTATTTTCGTTTATGATTTCGGAGGACAATATCGACCGCATTGTCCAGCTCTCCCATATGACAACATTCGAAAGGAAGCTTTCGATTTTATTGAGGGGGAAGTCGAAGATTTAAATGATCTTCGATCCGAAGAAATTCGGAGGCAAACGGAGGAGAGACTTTCGTCGTTGTTAACTAGCATTAGGCAGGGCGGTCGGGCTTCGTCCACATACAAACGTTTTTATTCTTCTTTTATAAACGAAGAATTTCGGCGATTACATGGATTACCACTTCCGTGAAGAGTTTAAGTTTATTTTCGTGGTTTTTTTTATTTTTTCATGGTTTAATTGAAGTCTAGGCTTTTATGTCGATCCCTGCTTTGGTCTCTGGTTTGATGGTTGTTGTGGTCCATTTTCCCACGTAGTTCGTCGGTAAAACAAACGATTCCCTTCTCAAAGTAAGTAATAGAGAGATCTTTTTCTAGTTAGAATCAATGCAATGAAAGAACCATCCCTTCCCTATTTGTTTGTCCTGCCAGATAGAAAGATAATTAGACCCCAGCCCTTCTTTACCACTTTAGGGGATGGGGGTGAAGGGGGTTTACATACAACCGAGGCAAAGTGGTTTATGACTAAGCAAAGACGTGTTTCAATCTTGAATTTGATTGTCCTTCTTTCTATCCTTTTTTTATTCTACTATTTTGCATTTCTATTGATTGGTATGGATAAAAATATCTTTCTTGTCAAACTGAAATCCATTCTTCTCACCAAGGGTCTCCACTTTCTTTTTAGTAGGCTCGGGTGGTGTGGTGGAGGTCTCCTTATAACAATCATTTTTTTTTCTTGGATCCTGAATTTATGAACATGATGGCTCCTGAGGGATCATCAAGCTCGGGCATAAACCCCGCTCCCCACGAGCACGAGCCTGGTGCCCCTGAGCCTGAGCAGCCCTTGCTCTCAGACGAAATTCGCCTCCAAGAGTTAGGCGATTGTCTGAGAATCAATTGCCTGGGGAAGGCTATGAGCCTCGGGGAACAAGAGGATATTGTGGAAACACAGCTCTTGATTGAAAAAAAGATAGAGCAAGCTCTCTTGTCCGACGGTTATTCTAAATAAGCCATTCTAGAAAAAAGACATCAAATAAGAGGCTTTGTTTTCTATCCGCGAGGCACACCCGTCTCTGGGTCCAAATACACTAAATATTTAGAAGATATACAAATGTTTGGGACCCACCAAAGCCTTCCCTATTCCCGTATTATAAGGGCCATCCAGAATATGGATCTCCCTTTAGATTATAACGTCAAAAATAGTAGAGTACGTATTTAATTTGAATCTTGTTTCAATATGGAATATTATCAAGCACCTTTCACTATTTCGGATAGTATTTATGCTTCTACCTTTTTCTTAGCAACTGGCTTTCATGGTTTTCATGCCCTTTATCAATCATTTTTTTTCCCGGTATGTCGCTCCGCGAGCAAGGAGTTCCAGGGACGAGCGGAGCGAAAACAAAGCAGGGGGAATTCCTCGTTGGGGGAAATCCTTTTATTGCGTATTGAATATAGATCCATGTCTTTCTTGTTCCACTAGCTAGGACAAAATGATCACATGTCCGTTTCGTTATTACAACCTTTTTTTTTATGTCAAAGACCAGAAGCTACGCGAAAATTCTCATTGGATCTCGGTTGTTCTTAACAGCGATGGCTATTTATTTAAGTCTTCGGGTAGCACCACTAGATCTTCAACAAGGTGGAAATTCTCGTATTCCGTATGTACATGTTCCTGCGGCTCGGATGAGTATTCTTGTTTATATCGCTACGGCTATAAACACTTTCTTGTTCTTATTAACAAAGCATCCTCTTTTTCTTCGATCTTCCGGAACCAGTATAGAAATTGGTGCTTTTTTTACGTTGTTTACCTTAGTTACTGGGGGGCTTCGGGGAAGACCTATGTGGGGCACCTTTTGGGTGTGGGATGCTCGTTTAACCTCAGTATTCATCTCGTTCCTTATTTACCTGGGTGCACTGCGTTTTCAAAAGCTTCCTGTCGAACCGGCTTCTATTTCAATCTGTGTTGGACCGATCGATATACCAATAATCAAGTCTTCAGTCAACTGGTGGAATACATCGCATCAACCTGGGAGCATTAGCCGATCTGGTACATCAATACATGTTCCTATGCCCATTCCAATCTTGTCTAACTTTGCAAACTTCCCCTTCTCAACTTGTATCTTGTTTGTTCTGGAAACACGTCTTCCTATTCCATCTTTTCTCGAATCCCCTTTAACGGAAGAAATAGAAGCTCGAGAAGGAATACCAAAACCTAGTTCACTCGCTGAGTCTTTTTGCATCCATGGCTGAATGGTTAAAGCGCCCAACCTATACCAACCTAATAAAGAGGCAAATTCGTAGGTTCGATTCCTGCTGGATGCACTTGGAACGTTTAGTTCAATTACTGCTCACGAAATTGTTACATATAGCTCGCCCTTATAGCTTATGGGGCACTTCACTCGCTCAACACTCGTTCTTCACTCGCTAGAGAAAGAAAAAATATAGATGACTGAAAATCCCGCTTAGAGATCGCAACTATAGTGGAGAGAAAATAAGTATCAGCAGGCACTAAAGGGGAAGCTTAGAGACGAAATTCAAATATAAGAATAGAGGAGTACGTGGGGGGTGAAGTAAAGATAACTCTAGCAATATAGACTGGGCCTGCTTCCCATTCATTCTTTTATAAGAATGCTCTTCGGCTGGTCAATAGGGCGCATCACTTTTGCTTCTGTAATAGAGGCACTGTAATAGGCGCGCTTAGCTAACGAATAAAAACCTTGGTCCGCTTTCATTGGTCTAGCCCGGTCATTGCTTATCTCTTTCTTCTCTATCGGTGAATTGGGGGGAAAGAGTGCTTGAAGAGAGAGCTACCCGAAGGAGGAGCAGTATACGCAAGGTCTAAGCCCCTTACATAGTTGTTTGTCTCCTCGGTACCCCCTCCCCCTTATTCTTCCTTCCTCTGTAATAGCTGCCTTGCTAGCGAAGGGTCTTCTAAGCCCTGAGCAAGCTGAGTGCTTAGCACTTTTTTAATAGCACCACTTCTACCACTTGCATAGCATATCGGTAGTAGCTACAAGACAAAAAACTAACTCAAGAATGCAAGAGAAGTGCTTTTTAAAAGGTAGAGCTACAAGAAAGCATCTACTAAGCTAACCATCTAATCTAAGCAGTAGCATCTCAACTCAAGGAATAGCTTTCCCGCAAGAGGAAAGAGCATCTATATACACAGTTAGCTGTTCCTACTTTGGGATATTGCCTTAGCTAGGTTGGCTCCTAGGCTAAAGCAACTGTACAAGAGGCAATGTTATCAGCGATGCCTCGCAGCATGGAATGTTATTTCCTCTTCCTCTGGGCTCTGGAATGGAAGAATTTGTTCAGCATCAACCCCGGGATTCTTTCCCCGACTACAAGAAAGGAAAGCCTTGCCTGCTTCGTCTTTGGTTTGAAACATGTACCTAGCATTTCTTTTAGGATATACAAATATAGCGAAGGAATCCAACCCCTCCTCTTACACAGGGTACAAGGTAACACTCAACGGAGAAAAAGCTATAAAATCAAGTAGATCGATCCTAACTCACAATTGAACTAGCTCGCAAAGAGCAGGAATGTCACTGGCTAACAAAAGGGATGCCTAATAGTAAGTCCTCATCCTGGGGAGCCAAGTTGTTTAGCGATAAATACGCAGAAGCCGGTAGTGGATCGTCTGCTATCTGGGCAGCCAGCCCAATCGACATCGGAGAATGCAAAGAATGTGGTTAACAGTCTAGGACTGAAAGTTAGACCAAGAGAACCCTCCCTTCAGATGCTGTCCGATGCGCTTGGTCTCTAGTCTGATCTTCTTTCACTTGACAAGTAAGATGGTGGGCTAAGTAATCCCAGAGGAGTTCATCACACAGCGTAAAGGGCAGTGAAAAGAAATCCCGACTTCCTACACAACCTGACTACCTCCCGAAACAAAAACAAGTAGGCCACAAATTTAAGAATTATCCAAATGTTTACCCACCTTTTGATAGAAGTCATCCTCCTAAATCCTGATTCAAGGATTCAGTGCGAAAAGCTATCGAGACTGGAAAAGGAGCTTCGACAGGAGTTGACTTATGGACGGAATAGAAGACAAGAAAAGGAATAACTCTCGTGAAATGAGACAGCAATAAAGCGAAGACTTGAAGGCTTAGAGCCAATGGATCACTCACGGACATAGAAATTCCTAACTCATGGGGCAGGGCCTGTTAGACCAGTATCAATTGAGGGAAGAAAATCAGTAGTAAGACAGTGGGTTGATTCCAAAATATGATAGACCCCTTGAGGTTTTCAAACGTGTAGGGAATCTTGCTTATCGGTTGAAGCAGCCGGAAATAACAGAAGAGAAAGCTTAAGCTTACTATCTCGCTTTAGCTCTAGCCTCGTATTACTGAACTTCAATCTTCTTTTGCTGCTTTCATCAAACAAAACGTGGTTGATTCTGCTCCGAACGCGACGAATGAATGCTTTTAGGCTTTCTGTCGCCAAGAGGCTTTCTTCCTGAACTTCTGGAGCTTTAGCTTTCCTTCACTTCGATAGCTCCTGTGCACTGCCCACGAACTGAATCCTTTAGCTTAATGACCACTCTTTCAGATCTTGTACGTATACTCCCAGTCCTGTACGTGTAACTCCAATCTTAACGGATCTCCTAGGGAACGCGGAACTTTTAGGCGGCTTAGAACACTAGGCTCCGTTACATTACTCGAGCTATAGTGAGAGAGTTTCAGACCTCGTTGCTGCCCTTGGTGCGTGGTTAACTTGATTTATAAATGAATTCAGAAGGGAAAATCAGATGGGTTTAAGCCCTGGAATAAACGATTGTTACGGCCATCCACCATAACGCCAACGAGAGTAGGTTATTAGGGCTTATTTTAGCTTGAGCTTTCATCTCCCTACGATGGTCTCCCTTGAGCCGCATTCCAGGCTTTCGATAACTACTCTGGACCCACCATGGGCTTTGTCAAACTACTCCTCTGGCTGGATCCTGCCGAATAGGATTTCTATGATAAACCCGGAAAAACCAGATTTGTATCTGTACCTGAATGAACCATTCAAAAGCCCAAACGCTCTCATTGAGGAGAGCACGGACCTTATCTCGCTAAGCCTTTCAACGACTAAATACTGTGATCACCCACCGTTTTACGATCCATCTGCGATCCCAGCCCAGGTAGAAACTATCCTCTGGTTTTGCTCCTCCTCTGTACCCTAGTTTGGTTTTACCTCCGGAGGACCTGGATAACCTTTTGAAGAGTCTGAGGGAAACCGTTCGCGTTACGTTATCAAACCCTCTTGAAGAGCCTCTGTTGTTGAATAACCATCTCCGTAGGATCCTGGCTTTCTAGTTGAAGTTTCAACAGCTACCTTTAGCCTCTACGCTGCATTTACTCTACGCTGACCACTAACTGAATCGTAGCGATTTTTCGACATGACCAGCTCTCTTTTTAGATCCTGGGTTTAGAAAACCTCTTGAAGAGCCCGGGGAACCATTTTGTGATGGAAAGCGTGTTTCAGACCCTGGAAGTGGTCACTCCCTCTTTGGACACTGTCGGAAGGGAAGGTAAAGCAAACTCCTTCGACCCCCTGGAAAAAGAAAAACCATCGTCGATACCTGGGTTTGTTTCTTCTCAACCTGGTAGTGAAACTAAGCTCCTAAAGGACCCCTAGCTACAGAGTTCACTCCCAGTCCTTACGTTACGGACCCCGGCTTTGAATGCTACAAAGTACCCCTAGTTTAGTTTTGCCTCCTAACAACGTCCCCTGGGTTTCGATAACGGATTTTCTTTCAGAGCACGAGCCCAATCTCGCCAAGCAATCAGACGACTAAATCCATTTTGCAAGGCTGAGAACGAAACGAACTACACGTAGAGACGCTCCTTCTCTTGAATTTGACAGTGCTCGTGTTTTCCGATCCCTCGAGCTAACGACGCTTGGACTTCACATCATCTCGCTTTCGCTCGAGCTCTGTTTTCACATCCTATCCTCTCGCACTAACAGAACACCGAATTAAATGTGTTAAGCAAATAACAACATATCATTTCTTCGCGAAAAGTGCATTTAATGATGTAGTTTTCTATGCGAACAATATATATCATATATAAAGATCGTAGCGTAGTGAGTTAGGAGTTCCCTCTCACATTCGTTCTAAGCGTGGATCACTTTCATCCAACTTTTTCCATTATTTTCGTATCCGTAATAGTGCGAAAGGAAAGCTTGGCTCCAAGTTGTTCAAGAATAGTGGCGTTATTGAGTTTCTCGATCCTTTGACTTAGGATTAGTCAGTTCTATTTCTTGATGGGGGCAGGGAAGGGATATAACTCAGCGGTAGAGTGTCACCTTGACGTGGTGGAAGTCATCAGTTCGAGCCTGATTATCCCTAAACCCAATATGAGTTTTTCTATTTTGCCTTGCACCCCCTCCGTGAATGGGAACCCTCAAGCCCACTTTCCCACCCCCGCCCCGTAGAGGGAAATTTACCTGTGAATGCGGTGCGGGCCACTGCTCTCCCTTTCACTCGAAACAAGAGTTCCGTGCCAAGCATAAAGATTGAATCAATAGGACCGTATTCTAATCCTAGAAATGCCATAACTCATCTCTTCCGATCCTTGCTTTTAGGGGGGTATCTAAACAATATTCATTGCCTTTCCTTGCCCGTGTGGAATCAGGCTATTGCCAAGTCGCTGAGGAAGAAGAAGTATCGATATGCCGAAAAGTGGATGCTCGTCCAATCAGTCCAAGCATAGACAGATCCTAGTGCTAGTGTGAGATCACCCTTTTGATGGTGAATGTCGGAAATGCTGTTTTTAGATGAATGCTCTGCGCACATCCAATTCTTCCTTTTAAGAGTGCATTCGATTCGAGTCAACTATACGAAAGTGAAGTTCCTTGCGAGAGGTAAAGTAAGTTCTTAGGAATCGATTGAATCACAGGAAAGATCAGGAATAGCCCTTTAGGTTGCAACTCCTTCTAAGACAACTAGTCTTGGCGAGAGGGATTAACCTGATTGACCTCTTATTGTCCCTGGGGCAGATGAGATTGATTCTAAACCCGCTTCGACGTCTTCCCACGGATCTGCCTTATCGAGCCTTTTGGGGGTGCCATTAAGGCAATGAAATAGGTTTTTGTACGAGGAATAAGAGGCATATGCAAGAGCAGGTTGCACGAAAGGAACTGACATCTCATTGGAATAGGAAGCGAATCCGCTTTTCTATGTGCTAGATGTTGGCATTTCCCCTCTTAGCATACGGCATTAACTTCACTGACGCCTACTGACCGGATCGGGCACGAAGGAGGAAGGAACAATGGGAGAGAGGCGAAGGTTTTGTCCCGCTCTAGATCTGTGCCATTCCGATCTCAATCTCAGCCTGTGTTCCAACATAGTATTTCGTCATTCTATGACATTCCTACTAACGAGTGAGTGTCATTTGCACATGTTCCAAAAAAGATAAAAAGCATCTGAGCTGCTTTGAGTGCCGGTACTAGCAATTGAGACGGCAGCATTCGAATCAGCGGCGAGAGAGGGAGCCAACGCACTGGTAGGGGGAGCAACATGGAAAGCGAGGCTCCACACCCTTCTCCGTGGGCTTTAAGAATCGAAACCGGACCAAGCTCGCACACAAGCCTGCTACCAAGCAAGAGCAAAAAAAGGAATATGTTGATTGAATTGGGACAGGAAACCATCATAAGCCAGCCAACAAGCCTAACCATCCCTATGTCATCGGGGTCAGATACCATGTAGCCTTTCTTTCTTCCCTTCACAAGCCAAGTACAAGACATACCGGGAGTACAAGCGCTTGACCATAGGAAGAAGGAAGAGGACGCTGCTCTGACATAAGCGATTGGAAGATCTGATCTGAATTTCCTTACGCTGGTTCAAATAAAGCAATAAGAAAGGACTGACGCATCAACGAAGATTCTAAACTAAAGAAAAGAAAGGCTCAAAGAAATTCGGAATCAAGACGAATTGTGACTAACCCCCCTAGCCTAGGATTTAGTTGAATATGATAAATACACTTCTTGAAAATGGGGATAA